CTTTCTGAACGCCAAAGAATTGTTTTATTACAATCAATTGAAGAACGGCCAGTCATTCAAGACAAGAGCTCTGGCCTCGGCATTAGGGACATTTTAGCATTGAAAGTTACTAGTTGTTCAGGTGATTATTTATTTCAAAGTCTATTGGTTATTATTTAATTTGAAATAAAATTTGTAGTTTCCATATGTTATATTGGGGATTTTCATATGATCGATAAATGGTTTCTTCAGCTTGATTGGATAAGGTTAGGCATGATTAGTAGTTTATTTTATATGATATAACTTACGAACAAATAGCTGCTAATGAATTACGTCACGCTTATCACATTTTTCAAAATTAATTTCTTTCCCGCTATCAAGTTAAAGTTTGCGCGCCAAAATTTCCTCTATCGCCGACTCTAGCTTTCTGTTTGTGTGATACATTTGTAGATTTCTTAAGACCCAGAATGCTTGTGTATTATTATTATTATTATTATTATTATTATTTTATTATTATTATTATTATTATTATTATTATTATTATTAGGCGGTCCATTCTGGTTGGCGCGTAAAGTCGAATGGCGCCAAATACGAAAAACAGCAAGGAAAAGGTCCGAAACGTTGCAAGCAGAGACGATAACGATCGGTGCATAGCATTCATAATTTAATTTCCGTGTTTTAAATTAAAAAACAACAACAATATAAATGTATATCGTGCAATCTATTTATATTTTCGAGGTGGTAATTAAGCGTTTTGATACTTCAATTGTGATTAGGGATACGACTTTCGTGATCGTCCTTTTGGAACCCGAACACGAAACTTCGTGCGAACGAACACAACGCTTCGGGATCGTCCTTCTTCAACCCGAACACGAAGCTTCGTGCAGCCGAACGCGACACTTCGGGATCGTGAGGGACTAGGGATATGGGCCTATGTGTTCTCTGAGGCTTTCTTCGGTAGGTGCCCTTGGGGGAAATATATCCCGCAGATTACCAGCACACTGATTTCGCGAGGCAGCCATGTAGGTCTAACAGCGAGCCATAATGTTTCAAGGTCGTCACTTGGTGGACAGATGGATTTTATAGTGTTGCAGGGGATAGTATCTTTGATGTAATACCAACGCCACCACCTTTTCTGCCCTGACGAATTTTGTTAAATAAGTGGTACCCCTGTATGGTTCCGATGTTTAATGTATCGTCTTTGAACCAAGTTTCTGTGATTACTGCAATATCGATAGTATTTTGTTTCATTATGACGTCAAGTTCGTCCACTTTGTTTGTAAGGCAGCATGCATTTGCAAGGTAAATGCTGGAAGTGTTCTGCGGGGTCTTGCGTTAGCTGGCGCAATTGTTGACGAGTCATTTTGGTCAAACATCCCGCTCGGGTTGCGAGGTTTTGTACTTGTTTCTATTTAAAAAGACTCTCACGGGCCTGGGGAAGGAATCTGACTTCAGAAATTCATCAGCTACAAGTGCTTTGCCTTTAAGAGAAACAGTGAAGCTGGCATAATATGAATGATTTTTGTTTTGAATGCATTTACATCGTCCACCTCAGGGAAGTTAACGAGTAGGTGATTCTCGATATCTGCTTCCTCAGTGTCTGTGTGGCAGTTTGTTATGTAAAGGTACAACACCTCTGGTTTAGCTGCCCCCTGTAAAGGTTTAGCGGTAGATCTTTGTTCTATTTTGTCTTCTTTTTTCTTTTTTCCACGAGAGTAAACCCATCCGCATCCACATTGCTTGGATTAGACGTTTCGTGTCTTACATGGTTGTGACTGTAGTTATTATTTATCACAACAGGAGCCGTGTTACTACTGTCGGGCTGGGGAACCCCGGGCACGTGGTGGTACTTTGCATCACTCCACTCGCGGTTCGGTGCGGTTGGTGGAGGGGGAACTGTGTTTTCTTGCTTGTCGTTTTCCCTTCTGTTGTTCCGCTTGTTTCTCCTCTTGCTATTTCTAGTGTTGTTGCGCGTGGGCGTCACCTGTGTTTCTTTGTTGCTCATCTTCTCTGTTGCTGATGAATGTGGGGGTCTTGAGGGGGGATTTTGACGCCGGGCCGAGGAGGAATGCACGGCTCGCTTGCGTCAGCAGGGTCGCGCGCCTGCAGTGCCGCACAACACTGGCCGGTGATGACGTCAAGTTCGGGTAGCACTGGGTTAGTAGTTGCATTACCCGGGGAGGGTGACGTGGGGCTGGGGTTCACGAGGGGTTCAGGGCTAGGTTTCTTAATAGGTTCTGGCTGGGGATCATATGAGGTTCGGTGTGGGGAGGTGGAAGGGTGTCGATGGGTGTTGTGAGTTTGGTTCGGTGGGGGAGTCAAGGGGGGGGGGGTAGGAGAGCAGATATTCATCGAATCGCGATACTTAATCAATTAATTTGTACAGCACATGAAATAGTCAAATAGAAATCAGATGTACAAACACATATAAATGCACAATGCAGGAATTTCTATATTTTTAAGGTGTATGCATAGGGGCCATTTGAGAGTTGCCATAGGGCCGCATTATGACTTTTAGGGG